AAGTGTTGCGGAGGCCGGAAAAAAAAAAAAAAAAAAAAAAAAAAGAAAGAAAACAAGAGCAGAAGATCTTACTCATTTGTTTATGCCCAATGTTTGACTCAAAGTAGGTACTCAATAAATATTTGCTGAATAAAAAGCTAAAAATCCAGTCAAATGTCAAATCCACCTTCATTAGTGGAATGTTAGAATTGCATAATTTCAGCTTCAACAGAGAAAATATTACATTGATATGGCAAGGGCTTCCAAAAATAAAAAGGAAAGGTACCACACTCCTCCTTTTTTCTTTCTGAAGTGGATTAAGTTATATATAAAGGAAACCCTATATGAACAAGTCAGCCCTGAAAGATCTTTACAAAGTTGAAAATGGCTTAAAATCAGTGAGATTCTAGCGACTTTTATTAAAATTACCAGAGATATAGTGCATCTGAAGTAAAGTGCACTGTGCCCACCATGAATAGAACTCAAAGCAAACTGAGTACCCTGTATGGACAAAGCATTGAGTTTCACATTTATTACTTGTAATCTTTATAATTACTATCCTTATTTAAAAGAAAAAGAAATAGGCAAAAAAATACTAATTCAGTCACTGACAAAGACAGAAATGAACCCAGGTCTCTCTATTTACTATGCCTGTGTCCTTTACACCAGAAGTTCCCAAGCTTTCTCAGTTAACAGAGTGCTTAATGTCTCAGTAATCTTTTACAACACCTCTAGGCCAAAAAAAAAAAAAAAATCTAATGGTCTTGTTTATTAAATGGTTAGGTTCAAACAACTTAAGAAAATTAAGACAGATGTCACTATGTTTCCCTTGAAAATGCAAAATATCCTGCTGTGATCCCTGAGTCTGCTGCAGCTCCCCAGAGCACCTCAGTGCACAGTTTGGGAACCATGACTTTATACCAAACATGCAAACACACTATCACACCACTTCTCATGGAACACATAACTCTGAAAGTATTACATATATCTGCACATGCTAAAATAAATTTTAAATTCATATCCTATTTGAAAAACTACTTACATTGATGTTGGAGATTGGACAATCCTTTTTGGCAAATTTAAATGCAAAATATGACACTTGAAATATATCAGGTCTACACTCTGGATCTGGTTCAAGCATGAACCCTGCAAGAACAGATCGAAATGTTAAAAAATTTTATGCAACACATATGCTACTTAAGGGCACATTATAAGGATAAAAAAATGCATTTTTTCTGCCCCATTCTAAGATCAGAGATAATTCTAGCAAACTTTGTTCACATTTACAGAAAATGCATACACTGGTGTTTTATAAATTAACTTAAAGCATCATCCCAAGCTAAAGGCAGATCAGTCATAGAACAACTATGCAGCAAAAGTATGAATGACAAATATGATTATTCTCTTGAGGAAATGACACAAAACAAAAAGTGAATTTAGTGAACATTGGAGAATTATTCAAGAAAGTTCCAGGGCCATAGAGTCCTTCAAAATAATTGTATTCAAAATAATTCCCAATATTATCTAAAATATTTCTATTAATTTTTAAATAATCTTGAATCATTGAGAAAAGGCTAAATTGTGTATATTATAATCCATTCAACAAAATTGTACAAGGCTGACACTAAAGTTTTACAAAAACATTCTTTTTACCCCAAAATGACACTAACAATATTCACCATAATCCTATATATTTTAACATGTTATCCATATCATGTTCAGAAGTATGAATAGAGTTTTATGGTTCTATTATGAACAGATTTCATACCAACCTGATAGCATTAATCGAAATGACTGACCTTCTTTCTAACCAAAATGGCCAATAAGACATTATTTCTGGGGTGACTTTTAATTCAAAATTTCAAAAGAATGTTGACATTTAAATTCAATTCTATAACTGAAAAATTTATATTTTAAGACAACTCCATGTCTAATTTTGCTTCATTAATTAACTAAGTTCTCATAATGTTTAAATCATTTTTAAACTTTTTGAAATGTAAAATTTACATTAATTAGATGATATTCTGAAGCTTGGTAAAAAAATAATGTACAGAGAGATCTATGTATATAAATGGCTAAGATAAAATAATAAACCAAAATGAATTAAATCTTCCCTTCAAACTTAAGTAATATTTTGAACAAAGAATGTACAATACATCTCCAATGACATGATAAACTTATTTCGGATAAAATAGTTGTGTGGCAAGTGATACTAAGCATAAAACTTGGAAATTAATTTGGGAGAGTCTGAGCTTTGTTTAAAAATACCAAAACTCTACATGTAACTTGACTTTATATATTTATAATGCTACTATATATCACTTTTTAAAATTTTATTACCACTCAGATTAAAAATATTTTGTTTCTCATGTCTTTAGTTTATATTCAACCTCATTCTAGAAGAGATTTGAGGGATCTACAATGTTATTGTATCCCCCAAAATAAATCATATTTTATCTTGACACCAACAGATAGTAAATGTTTTAAAAAGTAGCAATACTACATGAAATGGGGATAAATTTAACCAAACTTTTAGCAATGTTTATTCATATAGTTTTAAAAATCAAACAAATCACAAGAAACCTATCAAATTCACAAACTTATGATCCTACTTTTCTGTTCTAACAATTCGTTTATTTGGCTTTTAAAATCTAATTTCAACAGTAGGTAATTATATATATTTATTCCTATAAAGCACTTGAAGTGGCATACAAAACCATAAGATTTTTTAAATATATGGAAAAACTAGGACTAGTGGAAAAGTAATGGCTGAAAGGTATGAGAGAGACAGGATAATGAGGTCAGTAAAGAAAATGCATATGATTTGGTTCCCTAATGTAGGCCCCAAATTTAGCTCTCCACTTTCTAGCTGTCAATATAAATAGGGCAACATGATCCATTACATGAATCACAGTGTTCCTAACACAAAAACAAACCAGGTGCTAAGGAAAAACACTGTTTCTCATACTGAAAGCAGAGAGCAAATTTGCCCTCAAGTCTTTCTAAAGACGACTCACACAGAGTGAACACCACCCTAAAGGAACTGCACTAAGTGACACAGGTCATGTCATATACTCCTTCAGTGTGGACTAGTGACATAACATCCAAATGCAGTTCAGTAAAAGAAATTCTGTACAGGTAGAGAACAGTATGGTATAAGAATATACTTCTCTGGTGGCCTGGCCTAATCCAAGAAAAACTTTTTAAGTATCTAAAGAGAAATAGAATGACACTTCAGGTAATTCTGTACATTATTTCTTTAATGGTACTAGAGAAGCACTGAGGAAAAATAAATAAATCTGACATTTCATATTATAACCAATAATGGTACAGGTAATTCTCTCTCTCAAGTTAAGTACAATACCACATCCTCTAACAATTAGGAAGCCAAGCTGGACATAAAATTGACATTACCTTATAAGCAAACAAAAGGACCTCCAATTCCCCTGTCTCATGTTTCCCCCTGGGAATATATCTGCTGGACCCAGTTTAGTTTATCTAACTATACCGATCCCACTTATGTGGCATAAAATCAATTCAAAAAGCCATGACTAATATTTATCTTAGTAGAGTAGAAAATATTAACAGTGCATTAATATGGTAAGTATAAGCAATGTTTCATGAAACTTGATTCAGTTTACACACGTGTGTGTGTATGTGCCTATAGGTCATAAATAAAACGTATTTTTTACACTGGATCACAGTCAAAAACAGTTTGAGGTTGGTTAGCTCACTCGTAGAGCATGGTGCTGATAACATGAAGGTCGAGGGTTCAGATGTCCATAGTGGCCAGCCACCAAAAAAAAAAATTTAAAACCACTGTGTTAGTGTAGTACCACAATCTCTGTTTACTACTATTAACTCATTCTTCCCCATAAGAAAGATAGTGATAATTGTTAAACTAGACAAAAGTATTAAGCACCTACATGCATCAATCTCTAATGCTCTTTCTTTCAGACCAGGTTATTCTCAGAACAAACATATTCCCTGAATAGCCATGTTTTGCAAGGAGCCTGCCTCTATAAAGGAAATCTACGGTTTTCCAACATTGCCTATGACTGGGTGTGAGTAAATTTGAAGGCTGGGTATAGAATAACAGGCCCATTTGGCTTCAGATCTAAATTTCATTCTGCACTCTGCTTTATCAGTACTAAGATAGACAGTTTTATCCAAAGAGCTCCTGTACCCCATCTCTGATTTGGTACTAAATTCAAAGCATGAAAAGACTAATGATCATACCTGAACTGCACAGGTAGAACATGGCTACATTTTTATTTCAGAATATTTTTAAATTGAATATTATCAGCCACTAAAAAAACAAAAAGGAAACAAATTCAATACAACATCTTTAAGCATTTAATATTAAATAAGATAATTTCTTGAACTCTTCAAGAGAATGGGTTGCAAAATGTACCCCTGGATTACTGAATAATGTAATCTGGAGTACAGAGGAATCAACTTTAATCCAGCCAAACACTGGGGCAAATCTACCAAAAATGACAACCTCATTTTTTAAGTAGTATGTCTAAAGACATTTTCTCTCACAATAATTAAACCTCAAGTCTAGTGTATATTAACTCCTCCTTCATGACAATAAAAACATATCAACTACAAAAAATATGCTCTTGGGGAGAAGTGGATTAAGGAATACATGTGTCTGTTTCATCCAAAAGTGATACCAAGTGATTAAGTTAAAAAAAAAAAAAAGCTAGAATATACCCTTGTTTACTCAACTTAAAATGATCATGTGAATCATCACAAGACCATTATCACTGATCCTGATTCTACTACAAATATAAAATCAACTTTTAAAAAATTAGCCACACAGAAATGAAATGACATTTCTCTACTCATCTTAATTGTATAAATCTTTCTATTGACACAAACATTAATACAATTTAAGAAGACAAAATAGTCTCACCATTGAAGGTAGTATGTGATTAAACCACTACAATATAACTACTGATGTATCAGACAACATCCAATTAAAAAGCACTTGTCCAAGGCAGCTGAATTAATTATGTTTATACTAATGCTGCATGATACTGCACATTCTAACAAACACATAGCAGCTAAAGGAACTGCTGCTGCTGCTGCTATAGCAGCAGCCAAGTTATATTATGGTTTAGTCAAGGATCCAAGCCAAAAATTAAATAAAGTAGTTACTATTCAAGTTACATGAAACAATGGATCCATGCCTGGGCCTAGATAAAAGTTAAACCACAATCTCTAATCTAACAGCTCAACAAATGTAAAAGAAAAAATACTTTGGCTGTAAGTCTCAAAGAAATTTTCCTGCTTAAAGTTTCTTGGAATTTTTTTTCCTTCCATAGAGACATTTTTTTCCTCCCCCACAGACCTCCAGTTATTACACTCATAGTAATTTATCCAAAAAAAAAAAAACACCCACTCTAATTTGCAACCATAAATGTTTCAAGCATTAATTTGTTATTTTTGTTAACCTACAAAGATTATTATAGAAACTTATGTGTTAGATATATATGTCCCACATACGGGCCGGCCCTGTGGCTCACTCGGGAGAGTGCGGTGCTGATATATGTCCCACATACCTTATTCTATGAACTGCTGAAATAAAACCAAATTTAATAGCTGATAATAAATATGTTCAAGCATAACTAAAACACTAAGTGGTACTATAAATATGAGAAGACAGTATATTTGGGATAGTCCTGGTAACTGTCACTACAAGTTATTGACCAGAGCCCTCTCTCTACATCTCCCCAAGTGGTAACCCATAGTCAATGATTAAAAACCTCCATAAAAACCCTATCTTAATCCTTGATTTCTTTTAAAAGGTACATTTAAAATGTTTGAGACTGTTTTTCAAATATAATATAGAAGAGCGTACGTGAGGGTGCAAATGAAATAAGACTGGCCGTGACTTGGTAATCATAGAAGTTGGATGACAGGTAGATGAAAATTTATTGTACTGTTCTGTCTATATTTGCATTTTATTAAATTTCCATAATAAATTTAAGCATATTAAAACAAGAAAGCAAATTCCTGATTTCCCACAAAATAGGCATTAAAATAAATTTAACCCCAATAAATGAGCCACTAAGAGTTAAGACAAAGAAACCATAAAACAGTACTAAGCGAGTATGCACCAAAGCAAGGAAAAAAAAAGCTTTTCCCTGGTGTTCATTATAAATCACTACATTACAACACAAAATAACGAAGTGAGAAAAATAATCTCAGTAGTTATATCTGACAGTATATTCTGCAATATATGATAACTTATGGTAAGCCTCTGGCAGATAAACTGCTAATCCACAAAACCAAGTTCTGCTTCAAAGCATCCAAAGAAATCTCTTCAGGGAAAGTATACCCTAATGGGTGGGTATCTGACAGCAGATGTCTCGCCCCTTACCCAAAAAATCAGAAATTAGGTTAGCTCAGGAAGAATTATAATAATGATATTAATAGTAGTTGTAGTGGTAGTTATTACAGCAGTAGTATTAATGGCTATCTCTTACTGAGCACTTAAAGCATGCTAAGAAGCACTTTTCATAATTCATTTAATTTTCACAACAATCCTAAAAGGTAGGTACTTTTAATATGACCATTTTAGAAATGGAGAGACTGAGATAAGCGAAGGTGCCCAATGTTCCTTACCCAATAAATAACACAGCAAATGAAATTCAAGGCTGTTTGGCTCTGGAGGCCTTGCTCCTAATCTCCACAATGTGTTCCTTAACTACCTTATAACACAGGAGCTAAAAGAAAAATGAGGCAGCCAGCCTTCTGTTCATTCTTCATAACTACAGTAATCCTGTTAGTTACACTTCTCATTCTCCTCTAAATGTCCTCTAAGTTCTTTTAACTCTCAGATCCAGAAATGGAAAGCACTTCTCTCTTCACCCTCTTCTAGCCCCCCAGCCCCAGTACTTGTCTGTTGGGAAAGTTAGCAGAAGCTAACAAATAAATTCTAAATAATTGACTCTGCTGCTTTAAAGAGGAAAAGTCTACAGGAAAGATAGATGAAATTAATAGTTAAACTGAGCTTTATGGACAGTAGGTAATAATAATCACCCCTGACCTAGATTACTGATAATCAAAAGTACATTCAAATACCTAGGTTACCACAATCACACAGTTTTATCAAAAATGCCTTGGCTGTTTCATTTTTTTAAATTCTCAGTGACAGAAAATGGATGCATACAGCATTAGTATTATAATTAATACTAAAAAGACATGTATTTTTATGCTTTATCTTATATTAATATGTAGGAAAAACTATGTTGCATGAATAGACAATTAGCAATATAAAGTTCCACATTTAAAAACTATGAGCATAGCAGAACAATTCCTGGCTTTCTAAATGAAGAATTTATTTAAAAACAACGTGTGGCTGGCCAGTTAGCACAGTTGGTTAGAGTGCAGCCTTGTAACACCAAGGTCAAAGGTTCAGTTCCCTATACTGGCCTGCTACCATAAATAAATAAATAAATAAAAATAAAAACAATGTAAATCACTAATTATACACTATAAACACAGAGATACCTAAATAGAATGTTGGCAGACAGGGCAAGGCTACATGGCAAAAATGTAAAGAATAAAATTACAAAGAATCTAAATGTTTTCTAAAAAAAAAACACATTACATTGTAAATAAGTATATTTTGGTTTTAAAAATTTCTACTAAGATTTTACTACTCAAGACAATACTTAAGTCCATAAAACCCCTTGACAGGAGGCAAAATATTAGGATTGCTCTAATTCCAGATTTACTTGAATGCTTTTATTTTATTCAACCATTTTTATTTCTGCCTAGCTCTCAGAAGTAAGTTCAAAGACATTAATACATGTTCAAATTTATACTAGCAATGATAAAAACTAAAATCTGCACATTTATTTGCAAATAAAGAAAGTATATGATGTACCTTTAAGCATCAACTAACTACAGCCCAGTTAGATCCTAAAATTATTTAACAGTATTTACCTTTTCCACCTTCCCATTACACAAAAAACACACATCCACTAACACATACATAGAAGGGGAAAAAAAACCTAACCTTAAGAAAGTAAGATCTTCTTATTGTAAGAAAAGTAAATCACAATTAAATATTGCCCAGTCTCTCATTCAGTACTGTTTGATGATAATATTCAGAGTCTCTAAGACACTGCAACATCCCCCAATAAAATCCTAGATTCAATTATGACTAAAACATTATAGTTAGCAACAAAATAGTGTTAAAGGGCTGCAATAGAAGGTTAAACTTCAATTAGTAGAACAAACAACAGCCAAATACCTCAATCTATTCTTTGAGCATTCCAATTAATCAGAGTTACTTCATGCTTATGATGCCCTAAATTTTGGACAATGAAGCGGAAAGCAACTAGATAAGACAGAGAAGGTTAAGGGTCTCATGTTTATTCACATATGTTTGCTCTTTTCAAAAAAAACCCCACACTCTGCAAAATGGCACACCAAAATAACAGGAATCATGGGAAAAACAGAGTTGGGACAGACCATTTATTTGAAAACTATACCATTTTGTCACCAGAGCACTGACAAAAACTAAAAAAAAGTAAGTAACTCAGAAGTAGGCTACCACATGGATGTAAAAAGACATCAAAACTATGCTGGAGGTGCTCAAACAATGAAGATAAAAGTGGAACTCGTAGGCTATTAAGCAGACAGCCACTGGGAACTACAAAAAACTGAGAGGTAGAGTTCTCTGGGGAGAACACCCCTGATACAAGCACTCATTTAATGCTCTCAAAATAGAGCTAAAAGTGTTCATGGGGCAGTGTAGCAGCCAAGCTTTAGGCTATTTTCTTTCCCTTGAAACTTATACCACCACCTCCCCCACCCCATTATTATGGTTCCCTTGCCTAGGAAAAACATTCCACGTTACGCAATGTAATTTTTGTATTAAACTGACATAACTCTCCAATTTCTAATGTGTATGAGCAAATCGACGTTAAAGAAATAAATGATTGCACTTTAAGTGATAAGTCTGCAAAGTGAAACGAGATTTTTTTACTCCTTTTTCTTTCGGCCATTTTTGGCCTTTTGGGGGGAGTGTTTACACTTTTCCTTTTGATCTCCAAAAGCCTCATCTTTGTAAAAGTCAGCCATTTGTCAAATGAGTAAGGATTATTATTTCCAATTTATTATTTGACTTTTTGCTGGGGTTCATGAGTTTGGGGGAGGGGACTTTTTATGGTTTAAAGTTATATGTCAATGGATTAATCTTTTCTTTTATAGTTCCTGGGATTTAATGTCTAGCTGACAAATTCCACATTCTAGTCTCATAAATAAATTCATACCGATTTTCTTCAAGTACACTTATGTTTTGTCTTTCACATTTAAATCTTTGATTTACCAGAAATGTTAGCATAAAGAATGAGGTAGAGATCCAGCCTTATTTTCTCTCCACAAATGGCTAAGAAATTTTTCTATTTCCATCTTTTTTTCCCCACTGAGTTAAAGTGCCACCTTTATTATACAAACATCAAATATATATATTTAAATATTATATATTTAAATTGATTCTTTTTTGTGTTTCACTGATCTGGAGGCTACAACGGGAGGTATTTAAAATGCAGAAAACAAAGTAAATATATTAGAACACTTTAATTGAAACAGTAGTGAGGTGCTGTTTAAATACTGCAGCTTCCTAAAATATTTTAATATCTGACATCCCTCCCCTGAAATCACCTTTTTCAGAAATTTTATCATGTACATATATCAAAATGGGGAAAAAAGGAAATCTTAAAAGAAGATGGAAGAAAAACTGAAGTAAAGTTGACAACTGAACAACATGGGTTTGAACTACGAGGGTTTACCTATATGTACGGAACCCCCAAAATAGAGGGAGGGCTGTGTGCATGAGCTCCAGAAGGCCAACTACTCAAGTACCTACCTATTTAAGTACTTAACTACTTAAGTTACTTTACTTAAGTAACAATGTGGAGAAAGTTACAGATGAATTTTCAATTTTCCACTGTGAGGGAGGTCAGAACCCGTAACCCCCGGGGTTGTTAAGGGTCAACTACATTCATTTGGAATCTAGGGCCTGTCAGACTACCCCATCTGACATTACAACTTGGTGTGTGCTACTAAATCTTACCTAGGGGCTTAAAAATATCCATGTATTAATCAGTAGTTAGGTTGCTTTCATTCTTATAAAAGTCTTATGAATACCTTTTAAAATGTTTTTTCTTTACTACAGTTTCACAAAATTGTAATAGTGAAATGAAAAGACTAATCTCAAGTAACGGGATATAAATAGGCCCTACATACAGTATCTTACAATTTTTTCATACATTTTTCCAAGTACTTACTTATTAAGCAATGTATGTTATGGGAGTAACGAGAATTGTCTGGGATGGTGAAGCTGCCATCACAGATGGCAACCTGACTCTCACCAAAAGGAAGAGTGAAGAAACAAAGTTTATAGAGTAAACATCCCAGTGCCTGTAAAACAAAGAAACATGAATATCATCAGAGTTCAAGTAATCAACTTTACCACAGACATAAAAACAGCCCAAAACCAAAAACTAATTATGTTATTAAAAAAACAAAACCCTAATGTTTCTATACTAGATCAGTCCTTTCACAAATTATTGCTTAAACAAATATGTTTAACTTTTGAAAAGACATTTAACTTTATAATTTCCATATTTTTAATCACATATATGGCTAGTTGGCTGAATTAATGGAATCAAAGCACTCTAGAGATCATGAATGATATAACTAAAATTAGAAGTGCCTGGTTCCTTTTGGAAAAAATCATACTTTTATTTATATACACTTAATATATACATTTGATATAATATATATTATATATATTTAGTGCATAACTAGCATTTAACCAACAAAGTAAGCACAAGGCTCCTTCTAACAGCATTTTTAAAAATTCACTATAAAATATGTTCTAAAATCCTGGGATTCCAAATCTGAGTTAGCCAGCACAGTTAAACTAACCAGACAACCATCAATAAATTTTTATTAATTATTTACTAAGCACACATCATTATTTCATACTATAGAAAATTAGTTTGCTATTTCTGTGTATAATTCTATAATTTTTATTGTATATTATACTAATTCTACTTGTAACCCAGGTAATCTATATTAAAATTCAAAAAGGAAGGACTCTGCTTAACTTGCATGGCTTCATAAACTTCAAAGCAGCAATAAATCTACTTGCTGTCAATGAAGGCAAAACCCCCTAAAACACAAATTTCATCTAGAAAAGTAGCATAGGGAATTTCTAGCTAAGCTGCTAACAGCTGAAACCTGAGAAGCAGTTTTAAAAAATTATTTTTGGCTCAAGAAACCATTACTTTGTCACAAGAAGTGTTACCTACAATCCTTAAGAGTATAAGAGGCAATTCCAATTCTAAACAAATTGTATAAAATTATCCAATAGGTAGTACACAATTATATCAGCAATACTGGAATTTGGCCTCACTATCTGAAAATTAGCAAATCGACTTTTTTTGGATTTTCTCCACACATCAACTTAGCAAACACAGCTGACTAATAAGTACACTAACTTTTATTACTGCTATGTAGATCATAGTAATATATAGAAACACCCTTGAGTTCAATAACATTAATTTACAACACATTGTTTTCAGTATTATAGTAGTCTTCCAAAGAAAAAAGCTTAAGAGCTCTACAATTTTCAATATATTAATTCAAAAACATTACAGGGTTATTACATGACTAACAAAATTGTAAAGATTCTGAATAGAAATAACCAGTTCAATATCCTTAAAAAGGATTTATGATGCTTTTTTCTATAAGGAAGATATTTTCAGCACATATTCAGCAAATTGAACATAAGGCTCCCTTAATGGCACTAAAACAAAAATACTATTGGGCCGGCCCGGTGGCGCACTGCTATAGTGCGCCGCTTGGGAAGCACGGCGGCGCTCCCACCGAGGGTTCGGATCCCACATACAGACCGGTTCCTGCTCACTGGCTGAGCGAGGCGCGGGAGCAACACTGAGGGCTGCGATCCCGTTGCCGGTCCCGGTCCGGTACGGGGGCGACACTGAGAGTTGCGATCCATTGCCGGACACAGAAAAAGACAAAAAAAAAAAAAAAAATACTATTAATGGTGCATTATCTGCATTAAATTACACCTTTCTTTCCACTGTCCAAATGTCAGTGTCGGCAAAAGAGGATCTTCATTTCAGCCAATCTTATCTTGCCAATCAAACCTTTAGTAATTTGTCTTGTGCAGAGTAAATATTGTGAGGGTTTCCAAATAAAAATTTTAGCAATGCCAGTATATTTAAAAAACATAAATCTTAAATACTCTGCTTCACATAATGTGAACACAATGAGGTGTCCCAATTTTTTCAAACCAAAGGCATTTTCCCTCTCCATCCACTTCAAACAATGAAAATTGTTCAAGAAAAAGGAGGGAACAAGTGACCAGATTTTAAAGGATGAGTATCACTATCTTCAGTTTTCTTCATAAAAAAGGTAACATGAAGCATCTCTTACTGAACTTTCTAATGTTTTTAATAAAATCAGCATCCTAGATTTCAGGATAAAAATAACCCACAATGGAAACTTCCAAGCAAAAAAAAAAAATTTTTTCCAAAATATGAAGGGCAAAATAAATACTTCAACCTCAATATCATAACTCTCTGAATAAGTACTAGCCTGAAGCAGGATCAAAAGTATGATTGTTGACCAATTTCAACTGAATAATTTTTCCAGATATTCTTGGATTCACACCTAAAATGTTGTAGCATACTTCTGTGTCATTTGAGCTAAGTAAAACAAGCACAAAAATGGCATCATGGAAATTAAAATTCTACCTCTTTCTTCTTTTTTTAATATTTGAGTATCTATTTGTAACCCCACAACTATACTCAGTTAAACACCATACAAACACTACCCCATATACTAATCTATAAATAGTATAAATTTTAAAAGTATCACTGACAACTTAGAAAGCTGCCTTGCATGCGTACTAAGTCTGATGAAAACATAAACAAAAACAAAAGGATCCCCTCTTTTTTGTTAAAATATTGGATAACAGTTGTGTACTTAGAGAAAAAAATTTTTTTAATCAACCCCTGATCTCAAAACAGTAGTGGAGCTATAATGCCTGTTGTTTATCTGCTGCTGAAATATTCTTTTAAGATAATATGGAATTCAATAGCAGTCACAAAAATAGGCCAGAAAAGACCACTACAATCATCTCTTCTAACACCTTCATTTTATGAATCAAGATCCAATTCAATTTACTTTCTACATTATACATAACCGTCACCTTTACTATAAGCCATTTAATGAGTCAAATGTTGAAGCTGAGGAAACCAAACCAAATTCGAGTTATACAAATTGGTGATCTATAAACAATATCAAATTAACTAAATTAAACTTACTTGGAATTTGATTCAATCATGTACATAGTAAAAAATTCAACTACCACAACGATCACTGGTGAAAATGTAAATATTATGTAGACAGGAGAAAAGATATCAAAGATATTCTTTTTTTATTACTTTGCAAGAATGTTAGTCTCAAGATTGCGTTTGGCACCCCAACCCCAATAGGGAAATAGCCAGGAGAGGAAAACCAAGGAGATACTCATTTGGTTTCACACATTATATGCTTGACTACTTTCAGAACATCATGTTTTAAAAACAAAATAAATTTGACTTTTTTGTAAACACTAGAACTATTTCCAAAGAACTTCATTCTTCCATTCTACTATGATCACTAGTGGTTGATATGACTAAATAATTGTTGAATTTAAATGAATTCACATTTAAGATAGAGTCTTCTGCTAATTTATTAAATACATCCAAAAACACATTTTACTTATGAAATAAATTCTAAAGAGATGTTGACATTCTAACATGAAGTTCAACAATCAAGAAAAATGACCTATTCAATCCAGATATATATGCTGAATGATAAAGAACTTCAGCATACAAAAGTCAGTCAATGGTATGTTTATAATTAGAAAAAAAAGTTTATTCATGTCAGTTTTCATTAAAAAGATCCAAAAATACTCCAGAAAATTATCATGTAATTACTTAAGAGTTATGTCTATAGCCTTTCCGTCTTGTGATCAACTAAAATTCCAAAAAAAAAAAAAAAAAAATGTTAATACTCATATATAATCTAAATACCAAAAACCACTGTGGTAAAAAGTTATACAGAAGTTCTTCACTTGATTTTTGACATATAAGCTTTCCATCTCAAGACTGAGAAGACAAAATGTTCTAGTATTTTTAGTTTCCCAAACACGAAGCTCTTCTGCTTACTAAAAAAATGCCTTTTGCAGGGGAAGGGGGAATAGTTAACTGAACTCAGATATTTTTTATTTGGTTAAAGCAAATTTCAGCCTTTCTTGGCCTTACCCAGATATCAGCCTTGGTGGTGATGGGTTTCCCTCCATAAAGGTTGATCATTTCAGGGGCTCTGTATGACAAAGTCGTATACCTGGCAGTAAATGAGTGGAATGGAGTGGCGATATATTAAAAAAAAAAAAAGAAAGAAAAGAACAAACAGACAATACATTTTTTCTAAATAAAAAACTACCAAAAAAGCTTTTAGGTTTAATAACTTTATATAGAAATAATATTATTTTTAAAAGCTTATTAAAAACCCATCAAGAATTAAACAATACAAAGCACCAATACACATTTTTAGTCACCAACTACAACAGCATCTCTAATGATATAAAAGCTTAATTTTCTTTATTGATTATAAAAAATCTTAAGTAATAGCAATGTATTAGAAGCAGTATTCCTTGAATTTCTTATGTGAAATAATACAATTGGACTATAATAGTCTCTTTATCAAAATATTTTAGGCTATTAATTTAAAAAAGTAAAACTTCAACCCTCTCAAAAATTTATATGTTTACTAAGGAGTTTGTTTTTATGGACTCCAATATATATCTTTGAACACTGTAGTAAATCTCCTTTGAGTTTGTTTTTATAATTGTTTTAAAAGTAATCTAATTGTTGTAATTCTAACTATACTTATTAAGTACACTTCTAATATGGATTGCCATCATGAGCTATTTGGAATTAAAAGATACTGTGAATAAATATTTACCAATACAAAAAACCCAAATCTATTATGTACAGAACATTTTAATTCAGTACTGCTCAAATCCCATAGCAGTAATTATCAGAATATGGATGGGCTTCCTATATCATGGCATAATTTAAGATTCATTTTGATTATTTATACATTTTAATTTATAAGAAGTATTTTAAAACTCAGTATTCTACCATCTCAGTTTTTCCAAATTACCCTGATTGGTGAGACAGTTTTTATGATACTACTGCAGAGGAATGATTTAAAAAACCAGAATATAAACTACATGAGGGCTGGACTTTGGTTCACTATTATATTCTAGCACTAAGAAAAGTGTAGGCCCTGAATAAATAGATGTTAACTTAATGAATGGTTAGCCCATTAACTCCTCAACTGAGCCACAAAGCACAAGAACCCTTCATGAGCTTCTGTTACCACCAATGCGAATTTCAACTGAACCTTAACTATACCTCATAATGAAACAGCAAGAAATAAAACATCTAGCAGGTCAGAGCTGCTTGAGCAGAACTCTGTAGCAGCAACTAAAAATCATGATCCAGTAATTTTTTTAAAAATAATACATATATACATATATCCCCAAGAAGCTAATTCAATATTATTATTGTGTTCTTCAGGACACTGTTATGTTTACTGAAGTGTTCAGTTTTATGGAATCTAACATAATTATCATAGGCTAAATTTCCTGAGTAGAAATATGTATTATACAAATGGGCCAGAGTAATATCTGCTCTATTTGAGTTATTTCAAAATACCGCTGTTCAAATGATAGCTCTTAGATAGTCTTAAACAATTAAGAATTGTGAGAAAATGATGAAAGGTAACTTAGAAAAAGCAACTGCTTAGAAATTCCTCATCTGACACATCTTTCTATATTCTGTATCATTTTATTAAGATAATCAAGGATTTACAGTTCCAAAACTAGAAAACAGAATAGTCAGGAAAATGTTCTCACAATTTCTCTAGCAACCATGGAAAGTACAGGATTAAGAAAACATAAAGCAGGTATGACATATTTCCAACAGAGAGCTTTCCAGTATACCATCACAAAGTAACAGTGACTTGATACAGTCTTTACATTTTCGTATCCCACATAGTTTTAAATTCATACAGTCTTCTTAATATTAAATACGTAAAAAAAAGAACCAACATAAAAATTAAATACTTAAAAAAATTAAATATGTTAAAAAGTCAATCTTAATATTATATATGTAAAAGCTCAAATGTTTTCAGATAAATTAATTTTTTTCTTAACAAACACAAATCTTCAGTATCAGTAAAAACAAAGATGTTTAACTGAACTCAATACTCACTTAAAACTCGCTTAAATGATTCCACTAATTATCATAGGTTATTTAACAAATTTCTTTATAAATCTACTTACAATGTAGATGAAAAACTTGCATCCATGACAGACACGAATTAATAAATGTCTATGGCATAGAAATATTTTGAAAAAACCTATAAATCAAATATCTAAAATTTGTGTTAGCAGAGCTGGTCACAGACTCAAGTTATCTAAAACTCCGATGACACAAAGTGCAATAAAGACAAACACTTACTTTTTAATTTCTTCTTCTACTGTATTAACTCCATCTTTTTGAGGATTAAGAAATTTATTAGTGGCACTGCCAAAGTCACAAAGTACATAGTTTCCACCATCATTCAACAAAATATTTTCTACCTTAAGAAAAGAAAATCATTAGTATTTTCAAAGTGAAAATTACCTTTTTACAACCATGCTTTTACACAATGAACATTGAAGGGTCTGTGCCATATATATTTATATATATGTACACATTTAAATATATAGAGAGACATAAGATACCTCAAATTATGAAGGACAAATGAACCAGAGCAAAAATATACTTTACTATATCTACTTCTTCTCTTACTAAGAACAGAGAAGTGCTTCACCCACCCAAGAATGATTTATGCAGCAGCCAACAAACCCTAAATCCTCTCTAAAACTGCTTTTATAAAAGAGAACTAGTAGCAGTCAGATACTTCAGCTTATCTAGAGACAATAATGAAAATCATTTAAATTCTACCTCTCATTAACTCCTAGTACCATTTTTATTTAAACTACTACTCTGAAAAACACAAATTTGACTCTATGCCTTAACTTGGAGATCAGAGTTGTAGTAACTAGGAGATCAGAGTTGTAGTAACTAAGATTAACAAGTTACATACACATTTCTTGAATAGTAGAATATCAAAGCCGAAACTGCTACTTACTGGCATGTGTGTACCATTTGACAATTTGCTTAACCATTCCTGTGCTTTAGTTTCCGCAGCTATAAAATGGGGAAGATAATATCTACTACATGGAATTGTAAAAAATTAAATGAGTTAAAATATGCAAAGTGCTTATAACAGTGTCTGGAATGCCATAAGCACTCAATAAATGATTATTACTACATGTTTTTTCACCCTCTCTTTTATTTTTATGATACTCTTAGATGAGTAATTCATTTCCTTCTGTCAAAATACTAATGTTATAATTTCTTTACAATTTTTCTTCTATATTTCATTTTAGCCTACTTTTAAAAAGATTTGAGGCTGGCTGGTTAGCTCAGTTGGTTAGAGCATGGTGCTTGTAACACCAAAGTCCAGGATTCCATCCCTGTACTGGCCAACTCACATCCCCCCGCCCTCCAAGGAAGAGAATAATTTAAAATAAAAAAAAGATTTGTACAAAATAAATATTCATACAAGAAATCTACTTAAAACAAATGTTTACATAAATACACACATAAAAAGAACATATAAGAGATGGACTATACAAAATTATGCATTTTCACAATTTTAAATCATAAAGACTCAGCTGAAAATATCAACTTCGTATGCAAAAAGTTAATGAACTATAATAGCACAAAAAGGTCATACCAAACTATTAGGGAAATGTAGAAGTTGCATATTCAAAAGAACTGAGATAAACTATACTGGCTATCCAAATTAAGGGACAGAGGCCTGCTGTCATGCATTTCAATTCTGCCTTGACTTCCCTCTTATTACTATAGGTTTCCCTGGATGATGCTTTCATGATTATCAACCCAAATTCTAAGTAGCATCTTCTATTCTTTTTTATCTTAAGAACATTTTATAATCATCTTTTATAAAAGTTTGTATAATCAGTCAGAATTGGGATTCATTCATTCATTAAATGTCTACTGAGACTCTGCTATGTCCCAGGCACTCACTGTTCTAAATGCTTGGATACATCACCAAAAAAGAAAAAAACAAGTCCCTGCCCTCATGAAACTTACATTCTAGTGAGAGAGGACAGAAAATAAATATAGGCTTAATACATAAGCAAATATCTTAGAATGTGATAAGTGCTAATAAAAGGTAGAACAGATAGAGAGTAAGAATGTTAAGTTGTAATTGTAAATAAGGTGGCTCAGGATATGACTCATTGAGAAGGTGAATCTTAGCAGACTTGAAGCAGGGAAAAGGACAGACATGGGGATATGTAGGCACAAAGCATTTTAGAAAGAATGATTTTTGTAATCTTAGTATTTGTGGACATCAAAGAAGACATCTACAGTTCTGAATGGTATCTTTAGCAATATGATATTAGGAATGTTCAATCCCCTTTGGGAATTTTTTCCAGTTTAACAAGTAAGTACCAAATACAAGAGGTCAAGAGCCCACAAGAAGGTAAGATAAAGTGATCTTAAAGACAATCACTACCAAATTATACTAAATTATAAAAAACTATAGCAAATTATAAATAAATGAGAAAAAAGACCTATTTATGGTCTCCTCCAGGTTCAAGTAGCTCTTGAACACACCCTGATGCTTAATATAGATGACAGGAAATAGGAGGAATGCTGAACTGGGAGAGAATAGTGTGCAGGGACATTCGATCTCCATGTCAGTGACATTCACATTTTTGTTCAAATGAAACCTTTTAAAGAAGCCTACTATGTAAAATAGTGATACAGAGTAGGGGGCACAAAATCCACCTCTACAGTCATGCTAGAAATCCTAAGGGCCAAGTAAAGCACAACTTCAAATCTATAGTCGGTCTTCACATAACCTCAGGAAATATAGGAGGCAACAGAGAGACCAATCTCATGGCTAGTAATAAAAATCAGTTTAGATGAAGACAGTCCAAGAACATTTTAACTCCAAAGTCTGAAACTTAGATTAAGTATTACTTAATCCATAAGTATTCTAAAGTTCTTACCTTCAGATCCCGGTGAATTATCGGAGTCTTACACTGATGCAACCTTGCAACAGCTTCACAGGTATCACAGAATATTTGCAACACTTCTGATTCCGTAAAACCTGTCTGCAGCTTCTTATTCATCTGATTCACTACCTGTCCAGCTAACCAAAAGTAATTTTGAGAGGTCATATTTTTAATAAACAAAGTCCATCACAAACATAGAAATTAAGAAATGCTTTTATGGTCTCAAATAATGGAAAACTGGTTTTTTCATAATTGCCACATAAAGATGCTTATTTTATCATATTGTATTGATTCAGTGAAACATTTTTTTCAAATTTTACATCTCTGAGATCAGAACACCTTAAGACAGATAATGTCCTGTTCATGCTATTGGCCATAAAATATTTTAACATCTCTGAAATCAGTGTGTACCTTAAAATTGAAAGCATACTTGATTTTGAAGAAATAGTTATTCAACACTGTGTATTTATTGGGTAAATACCAGTAAACAAAAATGTGATATTTATTGGGTAAATACCAGTAAATAAAAATAAAGTTTCTATTATAATAGAATTACAGCCTAAAGGTAGAGATGAGCACACAAATAAATAATCATAATTATTTATAAAAACTATAAGAACATGAGAGAACTTAAAATAAGAAACCTAAATTTAAATTGGTAAAGGAAATCAGGAGGAGAATGTGTCAAATCAGGCCTAAGTGTAATTGATTGCATCACTGGCCCCAGATCTTCAACTCTCCCTTTTTCCATGCCCTTTTCCATGTAATTTTGCAGTTCCTCCCAATAAATGGGATAAAAAAAAATTCCTACTCTTTTATTTGGTGTCAATCATATGATTTGCTTTGCCCAACAGAAAAAGGCAGAAGTGGCAGTGTGCCTAGGCCTTAAGAGGCCTCATATGGTTTTATTTGCCCTCTTATGTTTCCACCATCTCTATGAGAAAATCATCCCCAGGATAACTTGCTTGTTCCAGAAAGAGGATGAAGGCCATGTGAAGTAGAGCTACTCAGGGTAATCCCAGCTAATCCCCTAGCGAGGGAACAAACCTGGCCAAAATCAGCAGTGGCGCCCCACCACGCTCAGTTGAAAGCAGCTTGTCCCACAGATACATAGCCATAATAAATGACTGCTGTTTTGTGCTATGGAGTTTTGAGATGTTTTGTTAGTAAGCAAAAGCTAACATATATAATCCATGGAAACTTACATAGAACACCTCTTAAAAATAGATATTAAAAATTCACAAATTACTCGAAAAATAATAGAAATGTACTCAAAATACTAACACTGATTTCTAGAAGTTTGACACCTAAAGTACATAATCTCTCTTTAATTTATATATCAGAATATTAGCAAATTAAGTGATACCGAACCATGAATTCACGGAGGAAAAAAATGATACTTCACACTTGACAAAAACTGACTGTAAACACTGAATACCTGAAACCACATAGGAAAATGTCAGCTATAACACATTCTTCTATTTTCAATATAGCTTTATCTCTACATAATCAAAATCAATGTACCTGAACTATATATATTACATTGGTTCGCTTACAAAAGTGTCTTAATTCTTAAACAATTTTATATAATACAATTAGCTTTTACAGAGGAAGTAAGAGGAAGGTATTTACTCTCCCATTCTCTGCCCCTCCCACAGGAGAAAAAGGAATTTATCTCATTGATTCACCTGAGAAAAGGAACTGAACATACACTGTTCAGGCCCTCTGAATTTCTTAAGAAGTAACTGCCCACTCAGAGGGTACATTCTGATCTGTAATACGTGTAGTAAAGTTAGCTGGTGAACCACTTGAAGAAAACTTTTAACATAAAAGAGAAAGCATAATCACAATAGGAAAAAAAATCAGAAAAATAAAAATACAAAGAAAAATATTTTTTAAAATGTGAAATTAATATTCACAAACAAAAGATTTGCACCTAAAACAAAAGCAAGGTGTACTTTAACACTGAGATACCAAATAAGAGTTCTTAGAAATTAAAAATAAAATAGCAAAGACACAAAATTCCATAGCAGAGCTAAAAGATATAGTTAAGAAATGCTGGGCAGACCCTGTGGCTCACTCGGGAGAGTGCAGCGCTGGGAGCGCAGCGGCGCTCCTGCCGCGGGTTCGAATCCTATATAGGGATGGCCAGTGCGCTCACTGGCTGAGCGCAGTGCGGGCGACACCAAGCCAAGGGTTGTGATCCCCTTACTGGTCGCAAAAAAGAAAAAAAAGAAAAAGAAATGCTCCCAACAAAAGTACAATAAAAAGATAAGGAAAATGAGAAAGAAAAGAAAATCAGATAATTGATCAATCTAGGAAGAAAAACATTCTAAAAATGAGAAGTCCAGAAAGACAGACCAGAAGAAACAGAAGAGAATAAAGGTGAGTGCCCCACACAAAAAGATACCAGAAAAGACCCATACTAAGGCACACATACCTTGAAATTTCAATATGCTGAAAATAAATCAAAGATCCTAACTAGAAATGTCTATAAAGAAAAGACGTCACATAAAAAAAATTAAGGAATCATAATAACATTAGATTTCTCAATAACAACCCTAGGCAAAAATGGAATAATGCCTTCAAAATATCAGATCAAAATTATTTCTAAGCTAAAATCTTTTAGCCAGCCAAATTAACAATCAAATGCAGGTGTAGAATAAAGGTATTTTTATATATGCAAGGTTTCAAAGATGTTTCTTCCCATAAATCTGCATCAGAAAGCTACTGAAAAACGTACTCTTCCAAATGAAGGACTAAAAACAAGAGGGAGGCATAAATAGCAGGGAATCTAAGATAGAAGGGAGGCAAAGAGAACTCTCAGAATGACAACTAAATGCTGTTCAAAATTAAGCAGGAGGACCGAAGCCTCCCCAAGGAATGTTTCCAAGGGGGAAAAAAATAAAACTGGCACAAATATTAAGATGTTTAAACATATTGCATAAAGATCTGCACTTCTATTGGGAAAATCAGGATAAAAATACTAATATACATGAAGAAAATTAGGCAAATGAAAAATGAGTTTTTCCTAACTCCAGGAAAAACAAAAAGAAGAAAGAAAATGCAATTAAAGATTATTACATGTCACTATTAAATGGCAAACAAAATAACGTAAACACTGACTTAGTCCAAAAACTGAGAATACACTACACTGGGAGTAAAATACTTACCCTTTGTTTGAAGACAATTATCTAAAACACAAAATCAAGAATAGTACTAGCAAACTTTCCTTCAACAGCCTCCTCATGCCCATACTCACATATTTTCCTTGATTTTCTAAGTTCCCTCTCTTTCATACTCTCAGGATCTCACACTGACTCTCTTATATGATGCAGCATAGAAATAAGGAAGTAAATATGAGAAGGGGTTAGCCAGTTAGGTCACTTGGGAGAGTGTGGTGCTGGTAACACCAAAGCCAACGATTCAGATCCCCTTACCAGCCAGCTGCACCCCCCAACAAAAAAAAAGAAAATATATAAATGTATATATCAGCAGATATAGCTCAAGTATTTTAAAGTGACTACCTCTGAGGAAAGGATAGCGCAAGAAGGTACTGATTTAGCCACACCTTAGTATTTAACTTTTTAAACTATATACATAAATTACTTTGATAAAAATTTAAAATTTCATATAAAACAAAGCTTGGCAATTCAAATGCCAAACAAGTATTTCTAAACATTTTTAAAAACAAAAGAAGGTCTTCCTCTAAATACAGCTCAGGTCATTCTTCTACTTTAAAATAAACTTTGCCTACATATGGACAGGCAGAATAAGTTCTACTATTTGATAGTAGTGCTAGGTGTATATGACTAACAATAATTTATTGTATATTTTCAAATGGCTAAAAGAGAAGACTACAAATGTCATTACAAAGAAATGATAAATGTTTGTAGTGATGGCTATGCTAATTAGTTGATTTGATCACCACAGAGTATACTAGTATTGAAATATTACTCTATACCCCATAAATATGTATAATTATTACACGTCAATTAATAAAAGTAAAAGAAATAAAATATGCCTCTAAAAACTGAAGCTCATTTGACTTCTTTTTTTAAAATGTCGTCTGGGTAACAATCTCATGCGGGATTATGATTATAGTTGATTCAATTATCTTAAAAAAGTTACAAGTAGCCAAGGGCTATTATTAAATTCTAATCCAGCTAAGAATTAGCATCATAAACACTAGAATTCATAAAAATGGCACAGAAAAAAATCAGTACCTTCTAAAAGAAATCAGTGCTTTGCAGTAGATAAGATATAGAGGAAAAAAATAAGAAACATCTATTTTTTAATATTATATATAAAAAGAAGTTACAAATACATCACAATAGATATTATAACACTGATTCACTTTATTTTTCTCTTTCTTCCCTCCTTACAAAACTGGAGTAAATGAAGTCGTATTTTCTCCATCATCGCCACCACCATCATCATCATTCTCCTCCAACCTTCAGGAAACCACAAGATTTCCTGATATGATAATTAACAATCCTAACTGTCTTAGAGAATCTAAATATAAACCAGACCTCCCTAGAATCCAATTTGCCAGATACAGCCTGATTTTAAAAAGTTTGTAGGAAATGGATTAATTGCCCCTTTCCTACACATTAAAAATTTTAATGTCAGGGATTTTTTTTATAATTATTATTATTAAGGCATGCTACATGAGGGTACTTCACAGAAAAATAGAACTGAAAGATGATAGGAATCTTTCCATGAACTTTTTGAAGTAGTTCTTCAAAAATATCACATTAGGTCCAAATAAAATGTGGTTTTCTATATTCTCATATTTACAAAAGAACCCCAAAAGACCACATAATATAGGCTTATAAAGATTATAGATCAAAATGAATCTCTAAATTTGTTAAACTTTATATGTTTATGATAACATGGTAGAGTGCTGGACAAATCTTACAATTGTAATATTGACATATTATGTTCTTCTTGGTTCAATTATAAAAGAATTGTAGAGAGAGCAAGAAGTGTAACTCTTTACCTGCTTAGGTTTCCTGTTTAAAACCCAGGAGCAATTCTCCATTTATATGCTTATATCATAACTGCAGCAACTATTGACTAGATTTTAAATAATTTTTTAACAGCATTCCTAATTAGATAATTAAATCTGAGATTGCAATAATAAGTGTCTAAAACAAGTTAACAGCTGCCCTGGAAGAAACCAAGACACCTAGTAACCCATGTAAGAGAGAGATTATTAGTGTAATACAAATGCAGAAAGATAGTTACTTACATCGACAATATTCCATTAAGATGAGCACTTCCCATACATTATCACTAATGGAATTAACAGCACAGTCCAAATAACCCACAATATTTTTGTGACCAGACAGCTCTTTCTGTAAAAAAAGAAACAAAATTTTAAAAATTAGAAAATACACATTTTAAAGCTGTATTGTTAGCAATGTTTTGAAGCCTAAATTAATGTATTTAAAGAATTTCAAAAAGTAAAAATTAGATATTAGTACGAAATCTGACATATTTCAACCAACCAAAGGCTTCATGGTTTCAATGGAAAACTTACCTGCATATGACTGTCATTTTCTAACAAACATCAATTAATATTTGTTTTTAAATTCAACTAGAAAGATGGTTCACTAAAAAGTAATAGTCTCTAAAAGCAAGTGTACAAAGATAGTCCTTTGGAACCCAAGAATAAAATATCAGAACTTTTACTTATTTTTTTTTCTAAAAAATTAAAGGACTTAAGCTCTAATATTTATGAACGAACAATTATACTCTCATTTGTTTTGCCTGAAACATACTGCAATTTATGTGTAGTTATTACATGTACTTATGGATACAGGTACTTTTAACTAGACAACTTAAGAAATGAACAAGTGTCTAAAAAGATTTCTGATAAGAAACCACAGATCAAAGATAACACTAATAATATGAGTACAAGGAAATAATTTTTAAAATGGCAAATCTGAAACTTTTGCTCCTGGTACAAGAGTCATAAGCATATAATAAAGTTACAAATAACAATCTAATCAAGTCTACCCAGAAATTTTGAAACAATTATTAAGCATGCTATTCAAAATAAATTTATATTCACTATCACTAATAATAAACCTAGTTTTAACTACGCAATGTAATTTGAAATAAGGGCTAATGGCCACTGAACATGTAAATAATTTATAAATAAATATACATAATGGGGTGGGTCATCAAAAAAGCTGAAAGACCACCACTCTAAAGAGTTAATCATCCTATAATATCTTGTTCATATACACAAAATTTGAGTGCTGATGCTGCTCATATTTTATACATCTCAAATTATACAAATTCTATTGAAATAGAATTACATCACAGTAATACAATATCTGGGCTCAAGTTAGAGAATTTAGTCTAAGTTTCACCATTATCTTGGGGTAAATCTTTTCAAACTTTTAGCTAATAGCCTTATCTAAAAAAAAAAAAAAGTAACTCTCAAAGCCTGATCTGATCATCTCTAATCTAGCTGAGGAATAGGGACAATAAAAGCAAAATTCAGAAAAGTCAGATTGTAGTAATGCACTTATCTTTGAACAAAAGAGACTATAATTTGTGTGTTGGTAAAGATATTGAAACAAAATAAGAAATCCCTCTCTTAGTAGCTGGATAAGTAGGACGGACATTAATTAGTATTGGCAAGGCCATGGAAAAATACATTGCTGTGGAAACGAAAAATAGTTCAGCTGCTGTGGAAAACAGTTCGGTGATTCCTCAAAAAGTTAAACACAGAACTACCATATGACCCAGCAATTCCACTCCTAAGGTACATACCCAATGCAGTTGAATTATGTCCCCTCAAAATGCACGGAAGCTTGAATTGTGTCCCCCAAGTTTTATGTATTAGAAACTTGGCCCCCACTGTGACTATAAAGAGGGTGGGAAATCCTATTACGGTAATTGAAAGGTGGGGCCTTGGGAAGGTGATTGGATTGTAGGACCATACCATAGTGAATGAATTAAAAATGCTAGTCATGGGCCGGCCCGGTGGCGCACTGGATAGTGCGCCGCTTGGGAAGCGCGGCGGCGCTCCCGCCCGAGGGTTCGGATCCCACATACAGACCGGTTCCCGCTCACTGGCTGAGCGAGGCGCGGGAGCAACGCCGAGGGTTGCGATCCCGTTGCCGGTCCCCGGTCCGGTACGGGGGCAACACTGAGGGTTGCGATCCGTTGCCGGACACGGAAAAAGACAAAAGACAAAAAAAAAAAATGTTAAGTGTTTGATAATTACAGAGTCTGAGTCTCTCCGGGGAGGTGGGAGTGGGGGCATTCTATATCTGTTTTTGGTGTCTGCCGACTCTCAACATGTATTAGTTTTCTATGACAGCTATAGCAAATTACCACAAAATTGGTGACTGAAGACAACACAAAGTTATCCTCTTATAGTTCAAAAAAAAAAAAAAAAAAAAAAAAAAAAAAAATGCTAGTCAGTGGCATGGTTCTGAGGGTTTTAGAAGAAGAGATAGGAGAGTCTGTCTCTCTCTCTCTGCTTCCATCGTCTTGCAATGTGAGACCCCAGGTCACTGTCACTACCGTCAGTGGACTTTGGAATTCTGAGCCTCAGAAACTTTAAGCAATAAATTTTGTTTTTCTTTATAAATCACCCAGTTCCAGGTATTTTGTTATAAGCAACAGAAACAGACTAATAAACCCGAAAAAACTGAAGCCAGGTACTCAAACAAATACATGTACACACATATTAGCAGCAGCACTATTCACAATAGCCAAAAGGTAGGAACAGCCCAAATGTCCATCAGGTAGTTTTTAAAAAGTCCCATCAACAGGTGAATGGACAAACTGTGATATATATACAGACTGTATACATACAATATTATTCACCTATAAAAAGAAATGAGGTGTTAATACATGCTACTACAATATGGGTTAACCTCAAAAACATTAAGCTAAGTGAAAGGACACAGAAGGTCACATATTGAACAACTACATTTCTAGGAATATCCAGAATAGATAAATCCATAGAGACATAACACAGATGAGTAGTTACCAGGAGCTGGGGAAAGTGGGGAATGGCGAGCAACTGCTCAATGGATAGGCGTTTCCTTGTGTGGTAATGAAAAGGTTTTTTTTTGTTTGTTTGTTTTTTTAAAGATGACCGGTAAGGGGATCTCAACCCTTGGCTTGGTGTTGTCAGCATCACGCTCAGCCAGTGAGCAAACCCCCCATCCCCATATAGGATCCGAACCCGTGGCCTTGGTGTTATCAGCACCGCACTCTACCGAGTGAGCCACGGGCCGGCCTATTGAAAAGGTTTTGTAACTAGACAGAGGTGGTGGTTGCAAACACTGTGAATGTACTAAATGCCACTCAACTGTTCATTTTTATATGGTTAATTTTACGTGAATTTCACCTCAATAAAAAACTTAAAATATTTATGTGTGTGTCATTTATATAGACAGAACATGAGGGTATTTCAAAAACTCATGGCAAGATTCATATTATCTTTTAATTCTACTTTTCCACAATTTTTTTGAAGTACTCTTATATATATATATATATATAGAGAGAGAGAGAGAGAGAGAGAGAGAGAGAGAGAGAGAGGGAGGGAGGGAGGGAGAGGGAGAGACATGTCTCAATGACATTTTAGTCAATGGCGGACCACATATAGAACAGTAGCCCCATAAGATTATAACAGAGCAGAAAAATTCCTATCCCTAGTGACATCATAGCTATCCTAACACAGTGCATTCCTCACGTGTTTGTGGTGATGCTGGTGTAAGCAAATCACTGCAAAATATGTTGAGGAGGACAGTCTAGCTTACCTTCCCAAAGGTAACTCAGACTTTTAAGATAGAAAGCCAAGCATCTGAAACATTAGGTCTGATCCCAAGTGAAAGGGTTGATGCCTACTTTAAAATTCTTGTGTATTTTTAAATGATTCCTATCCATCCCCATAACAAAATAATACTTAACAGCTAACACTCATTGAGTACTTACTGAGTGCCATGCACAATCTGTACCTATAATTTAATTTTCATAACTTTTGGGGATGGTATTATTCTATCCCTATTTAACAGATTAGGAAAGGCAAAGACTTAGTAACATAACTAGACGGGCTATGCTCATGCAACTAGAAAGCAGTATAGATAATAGGAAAATTCATACTGTTCCCTCTCAAAATACACTTTTGCATGATGAAATTGCCTAACACCACGTTTCTCAGAACATATCCCGGTCATTAAGTGAAGCATGACTGTATAAATAAGCACTTGATAAACAATGGAGGAGGGGAAGAAGAGAGAGAGAGGAGGAAGAAAAAAGGGAGTGGGGGTGAGAATAAAAACAAGAATAAGAAACCATCCAGAGCACTGAGAATATGCAACCCTGGAAAAGAAGGAAAATTCATTTTGTAATTATTTTTTAACTGCTCAGTCTAATTCAGAGTTGCTTAAGGTTTATGGCCTATTAAAATATTTTTTACTTTTCCTAATATTTAAAAAGAAATTTTCCTTTGATGAAGGGTACCTTTCCATAAAACGCAGAGTTCACAAGAAAAACAATCAAGTTTACAGCATGATTTTAAAAATAAAAAGCAAATCTAATTGTTGTTTGTAAATACACACACCATACAATGAATGTAAAAACATGCACAGGAATGATAAAACACCAAATTCAGGAGAGTAGTTTCTTTTTGGATGAGAACAGTACAGGGATACCAGTGGGTAGGAATACACAGACGGCTTCAACAGGATCAGTAAGATTTTATTTCTTAAGCTGGATAGTTGGTAAACTTGGTGTTTATGATATAACTCTCTAAATTTTTGTATCCTCAAAATATGCTATACTTAAAATTTATTTAAGAAATGAAAAAAAAGAAAGTAGAGTAGCTTGCCTGTTGAACCTACAGTAGAGAAGAAAGGAAAAGAGAGGGGAATGGGTTGGCTGTATTTAGTCCTAAATATGGCTATACGGAATGTACAGTTGGCCTTCCACATCTGAAGATTCAACCAACCACGAATCAAAAACATTTGCAAAAAATAAAAAAAAATTTTAAACAGCAAGACAATAAAAAAATACAGTATAACTATATATATATATATATATATATATATATATATATAGCATTTATATTGCATTAGTAATCCAGAGATGATTTAAAGTATATAGAAGAGACTGGCCTGTCAGCTCAGTTTGTTAGAGCATGGTGTTATAATACCAAGATCAATGGTTTAGATCCCCATACCAGCCAGTCACCAAAAAACAAATAAATGGAAGGAAGATAAGGGAGGGAGGGAAAATATGGGAGAATATGCATAGGTTATATGCAAATACTATGCCGTTTTATATCAGGGATTTGAACATCTGAAGATTTTGTTATCTGTGAGGCAGGGGACGGAGAGGAGGGGGGTCCTGGAATCAATCCCCCTCGGGTACTATGGGATGACTATACTACAAATTCCCAGATAATTTTCCAATTTAATGATCTTCAAAGGTTTTCTAAATATGTATAAACCAATAAGCAGCTTGCCTAAAAGCTGGTTAATGTTACAGTACAAAACTAAAAGAAAATACACCAAATTTCTAAAACAGAATTACTCTTTCACTTACCATTATGGTAATTTCCCTTTTACAAATGTTGAGGTCTGGCATGTTATTGACATACATTCGCTTCAATGCACATCGGACTCCACTATGAGTCCGCACCAGGAAAACTGTGGAGAATCCACCTGGAGGAACAAGTACCAGTTAATCTAAAAGAATCAGAAACTACTGGCAAAACCATGCAATATCACTGTGGAGTTTAATATCAGAAGGAAATAAACAATGACTATACCTAACAGAAAAATAAGTATAGTAAGCAATGAACAGATTAAAAGCCAAAAAAGTAGCATTTAGAGGATAACATGCTTATCAAATGAACATGCTTCTCTCTTTTAAAGGCTAAAATACAACAGTTTCATTTTTTGCACAGAAATACCTCTTATGTAATATATAGAAAATGTCACAACATAACTATATTACTATAGTATGGTATATACTAATGTTTGCCTACCCATCAGACTCCCTCCCTTGTGATGACAAAATATAGATGTTATTTAATAAGAGACATCAATAGGATCAGATAGGTGGGTCCCTCCTCCAGTTCCACGGGATGAACCAACATTTTTCTAAGCCAATCATGGGAATCTCATTTCTTTTTATCAGTAAGTGATTCAGGATTGGGTATGTAACCTGTTCTAGCTAATGAGACATAAGGGAAAGTCTGCCATCTGGGAAAGACTTTCTACTTAGATGAAAGAGAGAGACTGGTGGAGAAGGTCCTGCTCTTTCCTCTTGCTTTTGAATTTTGTTGTATAAGAATATGATGCTTAGACCTAATGCAGCCATCTGTGGCCATGATGGAAGAAAGAGAAAATAAGCCAGAACACCGACAGTTGGCCTACTGAACTAGCCAACTCAGGAATCACTTCACTCCAAAACTCATGTGAGATAATAAATGTCTTCATTATTTAAGCAACGGGGCATGATGGAAGAAAGAGAAAATAAGCCAGAACACCGACAGTTGGCCTACTGAACTAGCCAACCCAGGAATCACTTCACTCCAAAACTCATGTGAGATAATAAATGTCTTCATTATTTAAGCAACGGGGTTTTTTTAACATTGTTAACTGCACCTGAGAAAGTATCTTATCTAAAGCACACAGCTAGCTAGGTATCCTAAAGAACAATTATTTCTGTCACACCTAAACAAAGATTTCCACCTAAGGTTTTTGACACTCATCTTGGCATAAACCATTCTACAGCTTAATTGTACTTCTTTAAAAAATGGTATGTCACTATTATTAATTCGATAGCCCTCCAGCAGAATCCTGAGCAATAAGAAGTCACCTGCACTCTGGTTCAATACAAAGCAGTCCAAGGAAAAGTAAATTATTAGGGATAAACAACAGGGGAAAAGAACTCCTAAGAAACTCCAGAATGAGTATATATTCATTCCAGATTCTACATAACCTCATTTGCAGCTACATGAAACTGCACAACTCCCATTCGTAGATCTGGATTTCCATGCATATAATGTAAATGAAATCAAATCAACCACTTCACAAGGCAATTACCAGTAATGAATAAGAAGAGGTTTGGGAAAAATACTTTAGGTAAAATCTCTAATGATGCACAGGGCATTACTTTAAAAGAAGTTTGTTTAGCATTAATTTCATACGCAAACATTAACTAAAAAGTAAAAGACCTAATAACGTACCACTTCGCTCAAATTTTATTTGGCTACGAAAAATAAGAAAACTGCTAAAACTTAGGCTATATCTAGAAAAGGAGGTGATATTAGTACAGATCAAGAGAAATCATTTAAATAGTATTTGCTTTGAGACAATTATCTTTCTAGATCTAGGTTATTCCCCAATGACAATGCTACCCAAACACAGCTACCTATATATCAGAAGTTGCTGGTAAGCCAGTGTGTGTATGAATTTATCTTGAATAGTTTCCAAGTTCTAACACCAAGTCTGAGTCAGTAGCTCTAAATGGGACCCTAGTAGATATATGATACACTAAAAATCCCCCTAACTCATTATAGTATTCTATTTTTGTATATGTTTTAAGTTGTTTATTAGATGGGGGTGGGGGAAGTTGCCCCAGATGGTTCCGATGCACAACAAAGTTATTTATGTAGCTACTGCACCAGAGTAAAAGTTCCTGGAGGAACCATGGATCCTATATACCTATTCTTACCCACCAATGTGATTTTATCCCTATGAGTTAGAGAAAAGAGGAAAAAGCATTAACTAGGTTTTCTTCATAAAACCCATTCTTAAAGTGAAAGTTTTCCAATTGTACTAATCCTAACTTAGAGATCTGGCCGAAAGTCATGTGAATAGAGAAATGTGTTCATTGACTTTAAGCTATGATTTATATATAAACATGGTAAACAGTGATCATTAACAGTGCCTGCTTTGAGAATAAAATGCAATAATTTGTTTTATATTTCCCCAAATAACATATTTTTCAAAATTTTCTGATTAAATGCTAGCTAAAAATACTTGTTTGAAGAACACATTTACTGGGAGGTAACTAGTTAAGGCACATAGTATAAGCAGTCCAAGAAAGAAGTATGATCTATTTGCCACCAACCCATATCAACCAAATTCTTCAATGATTATTTTTCTTCATAGAAGTCTTTCATGAACAACCCAATTTCATGCTCATCACTCACTCAGGCACCTGTATCTAGAGTACTGAATATACAGATTTTGAACATACAGGTTGAGTATCACTTACCCAAAATGCTTGGAACTAGAAATGTTTCAAATTATGAATTTTTTTTCGGATTTTGGAATATTTGCAGAATACATACCAGTTGAGCTTCCCTAATTTGAAAACCCAAAATGTCTCAAAGCATTTCCTTTGAGTGTTATGCCAGCACGCAAAAAGTTTCCAATTTTGGAACATTTCAGATTTCAGAATTTTTGGATTAGGGATGTTCAACCTGTATTATCCTGTACTTCAGTTCTCAACTCATCTCACACATAAATCAAAAGATTATTGGCAGTAACCACACATTCCACTTATTATAAATTTCTATGTCCAACTCAATACTATAAAGGCATAGTTGTTAAATTAATGCTAAATTTATAATTCTAAATATGAGATTATGAGGTTATTATAAAGCATTCCAAATGTTCTCAAAATTCCATGAAAATAAAAGAACTAGTGATGGATACCAATCTGAGTAAAATGGGAAATAAATGTATATTTATGAAAGTATAAAAAGGAAAATGATTGGTATCTTTTGCAATCTGTAAAATGTATAAATTGTACAACGAAACATAGGAGTTCTTTCCCATTCGTACTATATACTTTGAAGAGCAATGATTCTCAGCCTCCTCCAGCTTTTTTCCAGGGTAGGACGTGAGGTTCACATGAGAAACCATCCCACTGGACACCTAATTGAAACCTCACCTCTTCTCTCTCCACACAAAAAAGGTAATCAGACTAAAATGAAGGAGTGGCTTTGTAAAGTCAATCTAATTTTGCTTCAAATAGTGGTAATAAAATAATGATAACATAACTTGTACCTGATTGAACACCGCCTTGTAAACCACTGCTCTAGAGATGCCAGGTACCTGTGATAACTGTGTATGAACATATGGCATGTTATGGCATGTGTTGCTACAGCCTCACTTTTCTGCCTCCTGATAAATCATTATTTCTCCTATTAAGCCACAATTTTTACATGCATTAATTTGTCTCATTTTTAATTTATTGATGGTGTATATATTTAAAACTCTCTCCAAACTCATTTAGAAAGGTAATATGAAGGAATGAAAATGTGATAGAACAATTTATCTTTCCTTATCTTCCCTGTACTTCCTCTGACATAGTTATTAACTGATCAACTAGAGGTACCCAAAGTAGTAGAAATTCAAGAATAACAAAATAATCCTTAAAACAAGGCTAAGTAGCCCACTGGGTTAAATCACAGTGGTCAGGAAACCAAGGACCTGGATTATGATATTAGTTTTACATTGTAATCAGCCTGAGATAAATCATCTAATCTCAAGTGCCAGCCACCCAGGAAATCCCTCAAATATGATAATTGATAAGGTTTGTTGTTAAGGTAATTTTATACAGGTTTTACCAGACAATCTTCATATAAATGTCTGGATTTTATAAACAGATACTCCCTTACCAGTCAGCTGCCAAAAACAAAAATAAATAAAAATAAAACAGATACTCCCATACAGGGTTCACCCTCTCTTTACCACCTCCCCATATTTCTAAACAAAAACAGAATACTATACAGATCTCAATAATGTATCAGCATCTATCCTGCCAGTACACACGGCTTGACTCATTCTTTTAATAGTTTATATCATCCAGTACCATGTACAAGTTTATACCATAAGTAAATCATTTCCAAAGTGATGGTCACTCAGGTTGGTCTGATTTTGTCTGTTTCTTGCCATTACCAACAATGTTGCACTAAATATCCTTGTACAAATCTTTCTTTAAGGACTGGTGCTTTTGTTTCTGTAGCACAGATTCCCAAGGTAAACTAGTCAAAGGAAAAGAAACTTCAAATTTAATACTGGTAGTTTACACACTGAAAGGCTTTACCAATTTCCAGCAGCAACGTAAGAGTCAGTTTTCTCACATTCTCATCGAAGTTTGCTAAGGAATTTTAAATTTTATCTACTTGGTAGGAAAGTCTCTCACATTGTTATTTCTATCTGCATTCTGATTTCCAGTGAAACTGATCATCTTTATCTCTGTTTGTTGGCCACTTATATTTCCTTTTCTGTGACTTGAACCCTTTTTTCCTTGGCCCCTTTTCCTAAGAGTTATCTTTTTCTTTCAATTGGTTAGAAGGGCATCATAGAATTCTCTGCCAATATATAAAAAAGTACACATATTTTCCCCTGGTCTATTATTCTTTCCAATTGGTCTATGGATGGTGTCTTTTACAAATCAAAAAGGATATGTGAGATGTTTTCATGAACATAAAAAAATAGTACATGAGGACACACACAAAAGCTTGCCTCAGATTCATATAACTGGGAGAGGAGAACTTAACCACTGTAGTGTTGGATATTATAAGGGGTGTGTGTTTCATTGTTATTTTTTAAATAAATGTAGAAAATTTCTTTTAAATTAATGATAAAATTACTCATCATCTTAAAACAGATATTAAGGAGAGCAGGGGCAAAAATGT